GACTCCTGGACAATACCCTGATAGCTCAGGATGTTTTAATTTACATCAAGGCAAAGCTCAGTGAAGAAGCTCCAGAGACAAAGCTGAAACCATGTCTAAGCCAAGTGGAACATTACAGCAAGGCACTGGAACAAAACCTGCGTTTCAGCCCTGAATGGGACTGCTGTGAGAAGATGCCAACTGCCTTACGCTGCCCTGAGCGCAGCTCAGCCTCACACAACAGTGCATTTCAGCAAGGAGCAAGGCCTAGAGATTCAGAGCAGCTATCCTCTCTAGCAGCTCTTTAGAAATAGGTGAGGTGATGCCTTGTGCATCACTCAAGGCCCTGCTGCTGTGTATGTTTGAGGCAAGTTTCCAACAACTCCAGTGCCACCGTTCCATGAGTCCCTATGCTGCCACGGCTCCTCTCCCACACTCCCTTCCTCATCCCAGTCCTCCTGAGGAAGACTTCCGTGCTCTGTACTTAATGCTTATATGTTCATTAGATGCTCACACCCATCACTATCCAAACACCCCATTTTGCACAGCAAAGAATAACAGCAATCATAGTTCCAGCTCTGTAAAACTTGTCCACGGGCACAAACAGGCAATGGGACCGTACAAACGCTTTATAAGCCTTTTGAAACAAACCCCAACAAACTATACATGTTTGGAAACTCAAGTGTTCCTCAAAATCTATTTCCTTGCACTTTAAGTCGATCAGCGCCTGCAGATCACTTCAGCTTTCACCTAAAACAAGAGGGACCATTGGCACAGTTTCAGCTGTATTGCCTGCCCTGACCACAGGCTTAGCTCATGGGGTGCTTACGAGCAGAGGAGAACATGACCTGCCCCTGCAGGTGAATGGGGACATCAAAGCAGCGGGCACGGTCAAAGCAGCGGCATCGCGGGCTGAACAGGTGAAGTTCAGCGTCCCGGACACAGCATCACGCCAGGGCTTCCCGACTGCTGCATCGTACACAACAAAACGAGACCCTTTTGATCTCCCGAGCCCAATGAGCCCTCTCCGAACCACGAGGCGGGCGCACCCACACTATCCCTGCACTGACCCCTGCTCCAAGCCGCTACACAGGTACCGCATGAAGCCCATTGAGCAGCCGCCGCACATGCACTAACCGCGCTGCGCTTAGATGCTACTTTTACAAGGGAAAGCGAACAGACCCAGACCCGGCATTAGGATAACCCCGCGCTTCCCCCCGCAGCCCCGGTCCTGCGCCCCGCGCACCTCGGTGACGATGGTGGAGCGGTAGACGTCTCGGCTGTACTCCCAGCCGTCCCGGCACGGCTCCTGCTCCAGCGACCCCAGCTCCACGTCGGAGCCGGGCCGCAGCCCCAGCGCAGACAAGTTGGTGAGCGCGGCCAGGCGGTAGCGGCGGCAGCGGCTCGGCACGGCCCGCCCGCCCCGCAGCTCCAGCGGGATGCTGGCGTTCAGCCACTCCGCGCTCAGGTTGGCCCCGCTGGGCACGACGCACCGGTGCTCGGGGGTGCCGGCCAGGAACACGATGGAGAGGCCGTTGAAGCCATTGGGGATGATGCTGGCGCTGAGCAGGAAGAAGACGAGGCGCTGGAAGCGGCCCCACTCCCCCAGGAAAGCGGCCACCTCGTCGTAGTCGCGCATGGCGAGCTGCGGCCGCCGCTACCTGCGGGCCGGTCTGGCGGGGGCAGGAAGCGGCCACCCCGAGCCGCCGCGGAGCGCCTCGCCATGGGCCGGGCCTCGCCGGCGGGGGAGCGGCCGGGGGTGGGGTTTGCAGGCGGAGGCCCCTCAGGTGGGGCCGGTCACTGCCGGCACCGCCGCCCGGCCCGGCCCGGCCCGGCCCAGCTGGGGCAGGCGGCTCCCGGCGTGCCCTGCGCCCGCACGGAGGCGCGGCGGGGGCTTGGCTCCGGTTCCGGCTCCGGTGCAGCTCAGCGCCGGGCAGCGGCCCGAGGGAGGGCGCGGGCCTGGCTGCGGGCAGCGCCTCGGCTTGTATTGACAGCAAGGGCCGAAGAGGCGGCCGCGGTGTGCGGGTGAGGCACAGAGCCCTGCGCGCAGGAGCGCTGCCGGTTCGCACGCTGCTCCCTGCCTGCCAACATCGGGCTATCCACGTTTCCGACCAGCCTGCTGTGCATGGTATCTTCATCTCTTCACCACCAAATGTACAGCTTTTACAGCGCTTTTGAATGCCTTTGTTTGAAAAGATCTCCTGTTCCGTGTGGGAATTGCAAAGATGTGAAAAAAAACCCATGCGTAAAATGGACAAAGAAGAAGTTAAACCTCAAAATCAGCCTTGAGGTTGGGCAGGGTCTGTGTCCATGCCCTTGTGGGATTGCGGAGTCAGGACAGACCCATCTGAAAGCCAGAATAACTGTACTACACCGTAACAGCCTGTGTAGAATAGCTTATTTGTGGAAGAGCTTGTTTTAGGGTTATATTTTCATCCGTTATCCACGCTAAGTACATTTTAAACTACCTTTTTACACCTCTTTGCCCAAAGCGTTAAAGCGAGGACACTTCCTCTTCAATTGCACTCCACACAGAAAGCAGGTTATACAATGCCAGCACACATTTTATTACCATGAAGACATAAGTGAATGAGTGGCAATTGCTACAGTTTCATATATGCTTTAGCACATCCAGTGAAACAGCCCAGGAGCAAAGGTTGCACAGAGAGACCCAGGTAAAGGTGACAGCGGTGACAGCTGAGGCACAGCGCAACAGCCCCTGCAGTCAGTGAGAACGATCCCGCTGGTGCTTCCCTCCTGCCCTTCCCGCTGAGGATCGCAGGGAGAGGCTTAAATAGCTCATAGCAACACATTTAACTTGTGCCAGCGGCTACTAAACCAGTGCTGTTTGCTTCAGCTTTACAACTAAGAGAATAGTAACTGGCCAGAACCCAGCACTGCAGATTCATCCCTGTTGGGTTCTTCCACAGACCATTGCTCTTTGGGGCTTGCGAGCCTGGGGAAGCCACTGCCAGAGTGCAAATGCTTCATGAGCTGAAGCAATCCCCTTTTCTTGTTTTTCACCATCCTCAGGCACCATGAGGCCTTGGAACAACACCGTGTGCTTTTCAGAAAGTTATTCCACAGCTGGGAAAGATTTGCCTTTGTTTAAATGTGCCATTGAAAACACTAAAATGTGACCCCAGCTTGAGCTCGAGTACAAAAAATGAGACCGATTAAAACAAGGTATTTAAACCAAAACCCAGCACAACCCTTTTTCTTATTTAAAAAAGGAAAAATAATTTTTTTTAAGTTACCACGCAGTTCAAGAGTACAAAAATATTTAATTTTTAGAAACACCCAAGCCCACAATCACACAAAGTATCAACTTGATATAAAAATCTTCATAAAGATACAGCCACCTCTATTTAATCAAGTCAAACCCTGCCCCATGCTGATACAAAGGCTTTGCTGACAAATGTAGTTATGTCTAAACTGCTATTCTATAGATTAACTTTATAGTAAGTAAACCCAAGATTAAATAGTGCTGATATCAGAGAAATTCCAGCTTGAGAAAGGATGAGAACATCAAGGATCACAGGATAATGGTTGCCTTGTGTTACATTCATGGCAAAAGCCTAACTGCAGCAAACTAATGTGAAAGTAAATGGTATTTCTGCATCCCAAAGGGCAGGTTAAAGTAACTGCACAAGTTCCTTGTACATGTTATAAAGCTTTATATTTGTGCTTGAACTTGGGAGGGAGAGCCTCCTTCCTATGCCCAGTGCCAGCACAAGACCAGCTTGCCACAAACTCCCCCTTTAGAGGCAAGACAGAATGCTTTTGTTGGCCCTTAGAGAAGTCAAATCATGGCTAATTGATACTTACAGAGGATAAAAATCAGTCTACCAGGTCTGATCGACTTTATGTGCCCAAGAACTGTATGCACTGCCAATAAATAGGAAAATAAAAGGTATTCTGCTATGTAGTGTCCATTAAACAGTAGTAGCACAACTCTAAACTCTGCATTTGTTTTCATCCAATCTAGTGTTGCTGAACTTAAATACATCCATAACCTGTAGGATCTGAAGAACAAATCACTGGATTTGGTGGTGGTTTGGTGGGTTTTTTTTGCTCTGAAAAAAACCTATGGTCCCAAATTAGCCCTTTTGTGGTTTTTCATAGCTGCGGGTGAACATCTCCAGAACAGATTTCTGTGAGCATCAAATCCCCTTTAAATCTGTAAATGGTACAAAGACTACACAGAGGCTTTTAAAACTCTCTTCTCTGTACTTCCTCTGAAGGTACAGAATGATGCGGTATATCTTCAAATGAAATGCTTTGAAAAAACACAACCCCAAAAGATCTAAAAACCCTGCTTATGCCCATATACCACAAAACACCTGAAAGCTAAAAGCTGTTTGGATGGGGTCGTTGACTTGCTTAAGCCCATGTGTCTTCTGAAAGAAGGCACAGCCCCTCAGGTGGTCAGCAAGCTGTAGTCCTTACTCAGTGTTAAAGATTCCCCCTCCATCCCCAAGGGTACCAAATGTTCATGAAGCCCAAGGATTTCAGTGGGCTCAGGCTTTATGAACAAGCATCAGCTTTTACAGGGACAAGTGGATCCCAGCTCCTGGGAAAAGCAAGCGACATCAAAAGATACTCTGCTGTCTTGTACGAATCCCACATCCTTACACTGAAGTGCATGTCTGCTTTGCTACAACGAAATCCTGATCCTACTTAGTCTATTAGGCTTTGGTCCCAGATTTCAAAGGAAGATCTTCCCTTTAGGGGCACGTGCTGGGGTTTTCAGAGACAGAGCGCAGCTCCCCTTCATCCAGTCAACAGGCACAGTGAGAAAAACCATGAGCATTTTGTTCACTACCCTTTCTTTCCTTTGAGCAGCTTTCATTGAGTACCCGACTGACTGGAGTCATTGCTGTACTATTCCTAACACTCATTTCTAGCTTATTCCTTGAATTGTGTTTAGCACAGGCAGGCCCCCATTTCTCAGCAAGGGAGAAGCCCCAGGTGTCAGGACACTGAATTACAGACTGAGAGTCCTACAGGGCTAGACAGCATCTGTTAGTAAACTATGTATTTGGGCAGAGTAGCACAAGGGATAACAACTATGGTGCAGTAGCATTGACTGTTGGGTTTTCCTCTGGCAGAAGATGCATTCCGAGATGTTGTTCTTCTTTCAGCCCCTCTGAGCGTGTGTCCTTCACAAGGGCGTTACCAGAACCTTAGGACTCTCCTTTCCATTCCTAATGCCATTGGTTTGTTGCCCATTTCTGAAACTGAAATCAAGTAAAAGACTGAGAAGCCAGGGAACATTTTACAGGGTGTCATCAGACACTTCCCCCTCCTGATTACCACCACTAAAATAACCATGTTACACCACCAACAGAAGTGTTAGGGAAAATGCCATCCTTTACGGATGGCAGAAGTAGTGCAGCAAAACAACACTGGGAACTTGAACATAATTCACTGTCATTCAGCTGCTTCCATCTGTTTATGCAAGAAGCCTGCTGCTCCCAAGTATTTCCCTCCCCGATGGTAACTGGTGAACTGGTAGCCTCCCAAATGAAAGAGGCTAGAGAACTGCAATCCTGTGTTTAATTTGGAGTGGTACCTAATGAACTTACGCTGAAAGAGTGAAGTGCTTTGGAATGTATGACATCCCACTAAATGAAGCTTAAATGAAAAGGAGAGCGAGTGCTAGAAAAGGATTGAAAGTGTTGGGAGATGATAGAAAGCAGCAGCCTGAAGGTGATGTGAGGGTCAGCCTTGCTTTCTGGGTGCCCACTTTCAAGCACAGCAGCTCTCAGGTTCACTTTGAAAGATCTGATGTATTTGCAGTGGATCTGATGAAATGGAATCATAGACTCATGGAATGCTTCAGGTTAGAAGGGACCTTAAAGCTCATCCAGTTCCAACCCCCTGCCACGGGCAGGGACACCTTCCACTAGAGTAGCTTGCTCCAAGCCCCTGTGCCCAACCTGGCCTTCTTTACCGATTTACATCTTTACTGATTGTGAAGAGGGACTATGTAGAAAGAGGTGCTGAATTCTTGTGATGATGGGATGAAGGAAAACCACCTTACCACTTCACCTTCAGCATCTGCTCAAAGCTCTCAGGCAGGGAATTGCCATAGCTCTCCGGGAGAAACAGGGTAAGAATTCCAATCAGCACAGTCAGGCTTCCCATCAGGATATATGGGAGGTGTTTGTCGTAGGCATCTGTAAGAACATAGGACACAACAGTAGTACTTAACGTGCCCAACCAACTACCCCATGGGTAAAATTTATATTCCAAATATTGCTGGAATGCAGAATTAATTGAGAATTGTTAGCTGAACTCTTCATAAATATCAAAGGCAAATCCAAAACCAATATACTTCTGTTATCTATCCGGAGGTGTTTTCAGTTTTAAAACTACAGTGTGCACTCGAGGATAGTCAACACCTACCATTGGTTTCATGCCATCCCCCATGTCTGTGTAGCAGCTAATAGGATTTTTGTATACTTCCAGCTGGGATAGCCAACATCTCTGCAAGGTAACAGCTCTGCTGGGATCCTTGCTGGAGCCTTCAATCCTACTCTGTCATCAGGAACCAAATCCTCTGTTAAATAATTCAACATGAGGGAGGAGAAGTGCTCAAACAGCCCAGCACTCATCAGCTGCCTGGGATTGTGCTTCCTGCTGGGCTTGTGCAAAAGAACAGGCCAATTACAGACTAACAGGCAGCTAACAGGGGAATCCTTAGTTACCTTCCTGACCGCACACGGAGAGAGCATCAGGCCTCCCATGACAGACAAGAGGCTCTGACCTTGCTCTACCCAGAATATTATTTTGGACTAGAAGGCAGCGGCCCCTGCCAGCAGCCTGAAGCCAGCGCACAAGTGTTTGGGCAGGATGCAAGATCTTCACGTCACAATAGCACAGCAAGGAAAAAGGATTTGCTAGGAGTTAAAGTATTTATGGTGCAGAAAATACCAAACTGGACTTGCCAGCTTTAAGTTGGTTTAGAGCAACATGCTTTATGATGTATGGAATAAACTAGCAGTAAAGTGAAGACCTCTGGGTATCGCACACAGAGTCAAAGTTTGTGATTTGATCTCTTCTGTGTTCATGAGCTGGATGAACTGCAAGGTCCTAATTTAGCTGTAGCAAAGATCAGCAGCTGACGAATTTCTCCTAAAACCTCCTGAGGTTTAGGAAACTATTCTGATGACTGGAACAAGAGGGCTTTGGAACAAGAGTTCTTTGAAAGGCTGAGCCTATGGAAACCTGGGATAAAAATAACCTCAAAAACCCAACCAACAGTTTGGTTTAAAAACTGTTATCGTTACCTGTGCTGCAATAGAGACTGAAGACCCTAAGGCGCATCACAGTCCTGCTGTCCCTTTTGCTTTGTATTTGCACTGTACAAGTATGAAATAAAGACTGCGTATTTTCATTATTTTTGGTGCAGTTTGTTACACTCATACTGGGATGTGGATGTGCGACAACATAGGTGAGTTACAGACAGCAAAAAGAAGTAGTCTTCTCTTCCCTTTCCTGCCATGGTGAACCAGCAAAGCCCCCCTAGCAGGACACCAGCAATGTTCTGCTAGAGTCAGCAGATACTTCCACCCTTAATCCCCTAATCTCTGTTACCTTTTCCTGCCTGCAACATGCGGATCGTTTCCATGTACAGACCCAAGGTGAGAGAAGGGACTTAAGAGACAACAAGTGAAGGGACTTAAAGCTGAACCTGCACTAAAGAAGCTCAGATAATTTCTCTGGGCAGTTGTGCAGCACAAAGCAAGGAACACAAAATGTCTCACCCAGGTAAACAAAGTAAGGAGCAATGATGCTGCCCAGCCTGGAAGCGGTGGAAGTAGCTCCGACTGCCATGTTTCGCACTAGCGTTGGGTACAGCTCCACGTTGTAGACATAAAGCATTGAAAACGCAGCTGTGATGCCAAATTTCCCAAGCATCACGAGGCCCACAGACAGGACATTAAAATCTGGAGGAGATAAAATAAAACCAAGGTGAATAACAACATCCTGCACTTACTACTTGTATTTCTTCTATATCCCAAAGATCAGATCACTGGTTTTTCCTAGTGGTTGTGTTTTTTGTTTAATTATAGAATGCATGATACATTTTGCATATATATACATATGTATATATATGTGTGTATATATAAAATTATACACTGTATTAGCCCCATCCCTAGATGACTTGGCTGCAAACTTCCCACTGAACACAATGTAGATGCTCAGGTTATTTTGTACTGTTCAGATTTTGGTTGTTTCCAAGTAAAACAGCATTCTTGAAATGGAACAAAACTGGATTACACAGCAATAAAAGACAAGCTTAAATCCACCCTTTTTTCATCAAATCCTGCAGAGATTTACACACAGTGAAATCTGGAAGACTTGCAGGGTTTTTTAGCCTCTATGCACAACCAGATAAATCACAGGACACTTTTGGCTCTCATTTTACAATTCCAGGTTCCCCTGGGCTATAAAAAGCTCAGTAACTTGACACAATAAATGACAGCCGTGCATGACTCAGCATCTTCATAAAACCACATCATGGCTGCAAGTGATGAGCACAAACTTGGCTTCAAATCCTAAATGTGATCACGGTTTCCAGCAATTTCACAGAACTATTAGGACCATAAACTATTTCTAGCATTTTAAATGCTCAAGTTGTGTATTGAACCTTGTACCTGCAGGAACCAGCTGAATGAAGAGGACAACGCCTCCCCCTAAAAAGAAGATGCCAGCTAAGGAGTAGCGCCGGGGGAGGCAGCGGAGGAGGAGCCAGGCAATCACATAAGCTGGAACTTCGATCACAGCCGAGAGGAAACAGTTGATGTAGGCATTTCCATGCCAGTTTGGAGTGCTGAGGGACAGGCCAAAGTAACCAACTGACGTGAAGAACCTGAGGAAAGCAGTAAACCCAAATGATTCCAGAAACATCAGTCTCTGAATGCCTCCAGTGTTGCCTCAGATGTTGTGACAAAAAAAGGATGTGCCATTAAGCCATGGGCATCGTGGCATCCCCATCTTTCTAATTCTGTCATCCCTTCCAGTGACCATGTCCACAGCGGCTGGAAGAGACCTCTGATTTCTCTGTCCTTCCTGCATACACTATATCAAGTAAAAGGCTTTGTGTAGGTCGCTCACAAAGGCTTTTCACTACAATGGAGTCATTAATGGCACAGTGAAGAAACTCTGGAAAGCTTCCCATGCCAACTACATTCCTACTTGTAGCCAACTCCAGTGACAGGATCTCCCACCCTCAGCAGTTCCGTTACATCTTATTTAATCTTCATGAGAGAGCTGGATGTTCGGGTTTCAAATCTCAGGAATGCCTTACTCTGGCATGCCAAGTGTGCTAGCCAGTTCCTTTCTGCTGGGGGAAGTATGTACAGGAAAGGGTCCTCGTTTGTCTATATGGTATTATTGGGTCCTCATTCCTTGTGGCTGCCCAGACAGGGACCAGGATCTCACTGAGATGGGCAGTGTACAGAAACCAAACAAAACCACCGGCCATGGGTCTGCTTCTTGTTATGCTACTGAGTTGCTGCCTTTGCTTCAAGGAGGACATTTCTCTTCAAACAGTGATTACAGAGTTGGGAGCTTCTTTAAAGAAACCAAAGCAACAGAATTTGCAATACACGAGCTGTTACCTATAATTTCCTAACTATTTTACATCTAAGTCGATGCTGTTCTCTCCATGCTCTTGTGGATTAGTGCAGTGTGGGTGCAAGGACACAGAGGGCCAAGGACCATGTGGATGGGCTCTGAGGCTTAGACTTATTATCTAAACCTGTGGCATGTGCCCTCAGATCAGAAACCGTTCTATTGCCTGGGTACTGTAGGAATACACATTTCCTTACCACAAAAGTAATGACATAATAGTAATAGTTGCAATGTTTCGGGTTCGAAATAGGTCCAGAAGGATAGCCTTCTGCTGCTGCTGAGGCTTCCAATCCTGCATCTGAAGGAAAGAGGAAAACAAAACCAAAACATTCCCACACACCTGCGAGCAAAGCAACCTCTGCCCCCCAACAGGTCTGGGCAGTTACGATGTTATGACTCTATCAGGGGATAACCAGTGAGCCCAAGGGCCGCTTCTGCACCAGGGAGGGCAGTCCTTAGGTAAAGCTTGTGTGCACCCACTGTACTCGTGGTAGTTTCCAGGGTTTTGTTATAAGAAAGGTAGCACTGAGACCACTGCTCCTGCTGACTAAGGAAAAGGGTGCCAGCTGACAAGGCAGACACATCAACATTTCCTTACGGATCTAACATAGAGCTTCCAGGAGTCACCTCAGTACCAAAGGCACTGTCTGTGCACTGTCCACTCGACTCTTCCATTCAACCTTCACAAACAATGGGAAATCAATGCAGAAACCCACCCAGCTCTGCTGGCTGTGGGCAGGACGGATGCCAGAGCTCAGCATGGTGGCATCATTGGAGACAGAGGGTCCAGTTTAAGGCTTGAAGCTGGAATCTTCTGGCTGGCATTAGGGAGCTCTTCTGCCTGCATGGAGAGTCCTTGCTGGGACAAAGCCAGCGCCCGTGGCCAGGCTTCCCCCCGAGCCCAAAGAGGGAACCACCATGGTCCTCCCTATGGGGCTACCCAGTGGATTTCCTTTCCCAGGAAGAGAGGATGGTTTCCAAGGAATGGCTTTATAGCAATGTTTGAGAAATACTTCCAATGGAGGACTTCATGTGCAAACATCATCCTCAGGCTTTGGTGGACAGATGCTTTGGCACACAAGATTCCCATGCAGTAACGGACAGCGAAGCTGCTGCTTGGTCTCACAAATACACAGGAGTGATGGAAAGCAAAACACTTACTGGAGCCTGAAAAGTCATGTCCAGCACGAAAGACATCTGACCCTCTGGCTGTGAAGTAAGGAAAATGCTTTCCCATGGTTTCTGTAGGATGAGCTTCCCATCACTGCAACATGCACTTCGGTTTACACTAGAACATACACTTGGAAAAGAGATCTTCAGCAGCTCATCCAAAGTGTGAACATGACATCAAAGGGATGGATCCAGCCCATGGGAGGTGCAGCACGCAGCATCTTCCTTGCAAAGGAGCACACAGTGCTTTGTTTTCTGCTCCATCGGGTGACATCAGGAGGCCCAAAATGCAGTGAAGTGAGATCTCACATACAGACACACGGGTATTACTGATGCGTGGCTGGTTTCTTTGCACAGGAGAACGGTTTGTGCTTCTTCAGGAGCTCCAGCCAGGGCAGAGCCACTAGAGGGGGAGATGAGCCCAAGAACCAGCCATCGTGCTGCTGCTGAGGAGCTCCCTGGCTTGCTGGGGTTGTGCTGGGCTTTCTCCTCTTAACCAATACATGTGAAACACAGCAGAAAAACAGACCTGAAGAGCTTGATATTCTTCACCACCATCGCTGCTTGTGGTTTTCGTGTGCCCGTGTAGCACTGGGGTGCTTTGGTTTGTGCCACCCAGCCCCAGCACATGCGGCTGCCGATTTAGGGTCCCCTGCGCAGCCTACAAAGGGTGGCTGTCAAGCTGCAAATCCCTAACACCACAACCAAGCTGAAAGGGGAACAACCACATCCTCCTCGGGCCTTCTCAGCGGCAAGGGCTGAAGCAATCTGGGTCAGCCTTGCTCTGAAAACCACAACCAAGCACTGCTGAGGAGGAGAATTCCACTGTGAAAACCAAACACATGAAAGCCCCTCTGGCTTCTCATTTTGAACTCCCTAACCCAGCACTTACCTCGCACCAACAGTCACCTGAAGAGCTGCTGGTGCGAACCAGTTCTGTGCTGGCATTTCCCCACAAGTCAACTGGCCAAAGGGGGAGCGTTCTGGTGAGGTAAAGCACCAGGACACATGCAACATACCTCTGCGGTGTCAAAAAGCACCTCTGGGGCTGGCACACCATTTATCTTCGCAGCCTTTCGGATAATAACTTCTGCCTCCTTGTACCTTCCCTGGGAGATGAGCCACCGAGGGGATTCAGGAATGATCCTGCAATGGGTTTCACAATAAACAGCTCAACGTTTCTCACATACAGTTATTAAAACCACATGTATCGTCTCTACGAGTTCCACTCTCAGCTGACAGATTGCTTGCAGCAGAAGGCAGCCAGCACAGAAGCACGTGGGCAATGTAATCCATGGATTTGTCCCACCGGGATCAATAGGAGAATTCCAGTCTATGGGAGGTGTTTATCCCCACGCTGAAGTAGATGCAAGCTTACCCTTGTCCTGGGTGGTTGGTTTTTAAGGGGTAATTGATGCCCAGCGGACAAACCCCAGATGTCACCAGACAGAGAGCAAAGGTGGGGGTGACTTAGGCAGTGGTGAGCAAAAATGTTGTTAGGGAACCACACACAACGTGGAAATGCTCGAGCTATGCACAGGGTACATTTAAAGGCTCTGTGTCATAGGAACCTTCTATACAAACCTCACATAGCAGCGATGGCTGAGTGAGGGTGCACCTACACGTCACCAGTGCTCCAGAGCTGGGATGGGTGTGTGCAGTGGGAAGAGGAAAGAAAACATGGACTCAGCTACCAAGAGGACAGAGTGGGGTGGCTGAGAGGAGCAGGGGAAGGAAGAGCCAACCTTTGGCTTTACCAGACGCTTATACACGCTGAAAGAGCTCACAAAGCAAGGTCCTGCTCCAGCAGCCAAAGCCAAGGCTGGGAGGACGCAGGGCTCCTGGCACACGGAGCCTCTGGGAGGGGGCTTGCCTGCAACTTAATGACATGGAGAGCAATGAACTGCTTAATGATAGGAAGTGCAATAAACTGCTGCGTGCGAGAGAATGGGCTCAGCCTGGCACTGGGGTACCTGAGAAGCTGTGGATGCCAAGGCCGGGTTGGACACAGGGGCTTGGAGCAAGCTGCTCTAGTGGAAGGGGTCCCTGCCCGTGGCAGGGGTTGGGACTGGATGAGCTTTAAGGTCCCTTCAACCCAAACCAGTCTGGGATTTTAGTACCAATCAGCAAGTGAATCCACATCAAAAAACAGCTTAAATTAAACAAGGAAGGAAGCAAAGTTAGAACGAATCACGCAGTGGTACTACAGGGGTAAACCTAAAGGTGGTTAACAGTGTCCAGAGCTACAAATCAAATCCAGCATTCCCAAGTGCTCTGGAAAACCAATGCACAAGTGGCTTCAAGCACAGGGCCAGCACCAGCAGGGCTCTGTGGGTAGTTAACGTGACTGAAAAGTGGTACTCACCACCAGAGCGGGATGCAGAACAGCCCCGGGATCGTGAGTGCCAGCAGCAGCATCCGCCAGTCTCTGATGAAGTAAGCAAACAGTGGCAGCAACATGTAGCCAATTGCAAAAAATATGCAAATTCCTAATGTAGAGAATATAATACGAACTGATTTGCCCAGGATTTCTGTTCCTGTTCAAAACAAGGGAGGGTGGATTAGCATCTCAACGCTTTCTTTCCAAGCATCACTCAATACTTTACTGCGTTTAGGAGAAGGTTAAGCTAAACAGTCTTAGGAAGGAGCAGCACAACACAACCCACCCAGTACAGAAAAGCTGCTTGGGAGTATTGGGGACCTTCAGATGAAGGAGTGACTTCTGTTTGCTTTGGTTAAGGCATTGTCAGAGATGGACAGGAGCAGGCAGGGAATGGCCAGCAGCCTTTCGGGAGCCTTTCCTGCATGCTTGTCTAGGATGTAACCTGCTCCTGCACTGAACCCATTGGGATCTAAGATGTTAAGTTCACTGCTGAGCACTTCAGGTCTGACATGGGATGAAAGGATGTGAATTACAGTGAGGTGGAAACAAACAATGTTTATTTGGAACAGAAGGCTGAATGGTGGACCAGCACATCACAGGCTGTAGGATACCACCAGGGAAGATGCCATCATCTAACAATGCTACTGCTGCAGTAGCCGGGTAGCAGCCCATGAAAGCATCCTACAGCCACTGTGTCATGTACAGGATGTGGTTAAAAAACATCTCTATAGACTTTTGCCACCATCTCTGGGAGGAAACTATTCTCATGAAGATGGAAGCAATAGTGCTAAGGGCAGGAAGAGCCCCGGAGGCTGGAGCAGGGTCTGTGTTATGCATAGGGCAGCAAGGCAGGTTTGGACGTTGGAAGCTGGAACGACAGGAGAAACCTGTGTTAAGGTGGCCCCTTGAAAAGACAAACACTTGGGGATGGGGGGGTGCCAGGGCTGCAGCACAGCCAGCATCAATGGGGGCTTTGTATGTGCCCATGTCACTGCTTTCCCATGGCAGGCACTCGCTCTGGCTCCATCAGCTCCACACAGGAGTTAACTCCCAGGACAGGGGGAGCAGTGGCACTGGGATGGCAACAGCAATGGCAAGCGATCTCCCTGCTGACAGCCTGACCTACTTAATCCTCCCTCCACCACCGGCAGCGGTGACTCACTGCTGCCCGGGGACATGACGGTGCATCCCCTCCACAGCACTGATTTCACATCATGTTCTTCTGCTCTGTTTCCCTCCCCCAGCATTAAAGCCTCATGGGGTAGGAAAGAACAGCATTAACTATTAGGTTTTAATTTAGACTAGCTCATATTAAGAAGTACAAATTGTAATACTAATGCAACTGGTTTAAAATACCTACATTTAAAATACCTAAATTGGTTACCAATATGTAAAGGGGCCAACAAGAAACCTGGAGAGGGGCTTTGGACAAGGGCCTGTAGGGACAGGCCAAGGGGAATGGCTTTAACCTGCCCGAGGGGAGACTGAGATGAGCTCTTAGGCAGAAGCTCTTCCCTGTGAGGGTGCTGAGGCGCTGGCACAGGGTGCCCAGAGAAGCTGTGGCTGCCCCATCCCTGGCAGTGCTCAAGGCCTGGTTGGACACAGGGGCTTGGAGCAAGCTGCTCCAGTGGAAGGGGTCCCTGCCCGTGGCAGGGGTTGGAGCTGGAGGAGCTTTAAGGTCCCTTCCAACCCAAACCAGGCTGGGGTTCTGTGATATCAAAACCTGACATAAACACATATGTACACACAAGAGAGCTCTTGCAAATCGCAGCTCCCACCCAAGGCCTGCATCAGGCATCCCCATAATTCCCTCCGACAGGGAGGAACCTGAATGCCTTCTCTATCTCAGACCTGCTTCTGCTGATAACAAACCCTGAACACTGCCTTGAACTTCTTCTCCAAAGAAGAAGGAAATACATCTTTAGAGTCTTCTTGCTCTCTTCCTTTCCTCTAAACCTAAAGGAAATATAGGCTTGATGTAGCCAAGAGGAAAAAATTTACACTGGTCTAAACTAGGAATTGTACCAGTGAGGCTTCACTGCTGTCTAAATAAATGCTCAGAGGGGAAAAGAAAATAGCAGTACATGAAACAAGTACTGAATCCAATGCAGACATGTTCATACCCAGTATGAAGGCCACCACGTAGTTTGAGATCTGCCCCATTCCCACTATGAGAAAGAGCACTGTGAACATCTCCCAGCTGATGGAGAACATCTGCAGGAAGCTGAAGGCAGTCTGCACGGCCATGGTCAAAAAGAGGATGTTCTTCCTGCCAAACCTGTTGCAAAAGAGAGATTGCTACTGAAACAGCATGCATTGGTGGAGAGGGGCTGCGTAAGAGAGCAGGAGGGAGCACAAACAGCCAACCTCAAGCAATGCAGCTCGGCACAACCTGAGGTTTGGTTCCTCTTGAAGAAGTCTGGTTATTAGTTTCATAAGCACTAAAAATGTTTTCACTTCCAAGATGCAGGAAATTCACCAGAAGAAAAAGGAAACTTCAGTGAAGATGTCAAGCCACACAGCTGAAAGTTAGGAAGCGAAGGCTTTTAGGCTACTGGCATCTATACATTGCAACACCATTATGCTCTGGATGTATTAAATGGCTTTACCAATGGGTTTCGGTCTGAGTAGTCATTGTACCCTTTCTCTCACCTGCCCCTCTGCATTAGGATTCCATAGCATTGCCTTATGGGAAGGTAAGAGCAAAAGCAGGGTTATGTTCAGGTTGGCACATCCATCCTGTGCATGGATGCTGCCCAGGCCACCCCACCAGCAGCAGCCCTTGACTTAGCAGAGGTTTCTGCAGCAACAGAGGGAACCCCTCAGCTGCAGGCTCAGAGCATCCCCTTCACTGACAAAACACTTCCAAAGCAACTCAGTGAATAGCTCGCAGAGAAGGTGCTGGGCTCTGGGGGAGGCCGACGGGGCACACAGCCTTGTCTGATGCTCCCAGCGGGCACATGGCACCAGTGGGATTTAGTGATTATCTCGTCTCCCTTTCAAACAGTAACACCGACTGACTTCGGCACCGGGGCAGGAGTCAGGAGACTAAATTCAGATCACATGGAACTTAATGCTGGTGGCTTTAGGATTAAGATTCCCATCGAGTTTGGAAGCCTCTTTGCTGAATACCCAGGGGAGCACAGTGGCTTTTACGGCTTCCTCACCGACAGGCAGCTGCGGTGTTACCTGTCTGAGAGCTGCCCTGAGATGAAGGAGCCGATGAGGACTCCCACGAAGAAGAGGGACGTGGTCAGCGGGGCTTTCCAGTCATCCTCACACACCAGGTTCCACTGCAAGAGAAGAGGCTGTGTTCAGACACAGCCATAATGCTCATCCAGGCACAGGGGTTACGGGCTGGAGACAGGCATTTTTCCACATAATTTAATTCCATTTCTCCACACCCACATTTCCGCCCATCCCTGGCACCAGCATTCATTTCCACAGTGAAGGTCACTGCCCAATGCCCTGTTAAAGCACAGGCAAGCCCCATCAGGCCAAAACGCTGGCAGCCATCTGATGGGACCCCACCACCTCTTAATGCCAAACCCAATGGGCAGTTGGTGGTTGCAGCCCGGGGGCTGTCCTGGCCCCATTTCCAGCACCATCTCCCCACCACACACCCCAACTGCCACATCAGACCCCCAACACCTAGGACATAGCTCCTCATGTCCCGAGATGCTCCCCCTCAGGAAAGCAGAGAGATGGAAAGGGGTGAAGGACTGCCCTATCCCTGGCTAGGGACAGTTTACAGATCACCTGCTGCAATCCTGTAACTTCAGGGGTCGACAAACCATACGCAGACAATGCACAGAATGAAATTTCTCTTCCTGCACTAACGTGTTTCCAACTTCCTTTCCATCCCCATCCCCATAAACCGCAGGGCTCCCTCACAGCCTCACGACTGGCCCTGGCTGCGGCTGGAGGTTTAGGACAGGAGCCAACATGGAAACTTCCACCCCAGGCTGCTCCTAACCCCAGACAAGACGAATAAAAGCAGCATCATGAGTCTCTGCCCGCTGAAGCTGGAGCTGTGGCTTGCTCCATCCCAGTGACTAATCTGCCAGCCAAGGCATGCCTGCCGGGAGCACGCATGGATAGACTTCAAACATGTTAGTGGGGGATTAGATAGTTCTACCACAGAAGGAAGCTAATCAGATCACAGACCAAAGTATAGCATCATTTTAATAATTAGCCATGCTATCAGAGAGCGGGACATAGCACGCACCAGTGCTGGGGGCATGGATGGGCTGAGCCATCGCAGCAAGCCTGGGTAAGGCAGGGGCAATGGAGCAGAAACCTCCCCTCAGGGCTGCTCAGGATCCTTAGCTCAGCAACAGGCATCAAGAATGAGAAGCTTTTGGGCTCCAAAGAGATCCAGGTGCCATCTGACAGCACTGTGGGTCCTGCCAGAACCAAACCATCAATGGGGTGATGGCTGGGCTTTGCTTCTGCTGCAGAACAAGGAGAAGGAAACCCCCAAGCAGGGAGGGATGCGGTCGCTCCTCCAGTTTGCTCTGGGCTATAATTCAGGAACGAGCTGCAATCAGTGCCTGTTTTCGGGCAGAATGAATGTACCCTGACAGCGGAGGGAAGCTGGGTACCTGTGCCCGGCTTGCAGAGTAGCACCAGCTACATGACAGAGAGATGAACCGGGTTTAAGCACATAGCCCATGCCTCCTCCTGGGAAACACACACAGGGGCTTTAATTTGGGAACATGGAGATTTGAGGACTAAAATGTGCCTCCAAGAATTAAATCTGATTAATCATGGCTTTAAGCTGCCGCACGGGAGATACAGATGAGAGCTTAGGAAGCTCCCTTCCGACCCAAACCATTCTGTGATTCTATCAATAACAAAACATTATTGATATAGTGTTAATAATAACATCATCATTAAGACCTATGGCAGCCGTTTCTGGAAGATGGTTTCTCATCCCTGCTGGGAAGGAAGAGATGCTGCCATGAGCCCGCCTGGGTGCACACCAGCGCTCATCTCCACTGTATTTGCTTGGATGGATGGGAGCACGTGTCAGGAACATTCGATATGGTCAAGGATGCTCACAGTGAAAAACACACACAGGGATCCGCTTCACATGGCAAAGAAAACCCATCCCGCTGCACTTCCCTTTCCCTGCTCTGGGAAAGCTGGTGACAAGGTGGTGGCAGAATTTGGAACCAATACAGACCATTATTGGGGCGCTGAGCACCTTGCTCTAGGGCTGCCAGCGCAGTGCCTGCGTCTGGACCCTCAGGCTTCAGTCGCTCATGGTGAAGGGTCAGCATTTTAAAATGCCTCCACTGTGCCAAAGGCACTTTGGCTGCAAAGTAAACCCAGCTAAATAATAACTGCTCTGTGCTCCCTTGGTGCCAAATGCCTCCCACCCAGCCGTTCCCTTTGTCTTTTCCCAGGACAAAGGAAGAGCTGTGTGCAGGAACTCGCTGTCTTTGACCAGAAAACACACAAACACATCAAATCCAGCTGATTCCACATATACCTAAATCTGCTGAGCGAAGAAACCACACCTCCTGTGTTAGATCCAATGCTACACACAGCACACAGGGACATATCCAGCCCTACTGCATAGGTACACCTTGTCTTCTCCCAAAGTACCAGCCTCCCACTCCAGAGGCACTTGCTGTCACGAAGGCTCATGCCCTAGCACTGCACGGCGATGGAGCATGTGTCAACATGCGAAGACTTCACTTGCGCTTCCATGTACAGGGCTTTCAGTTACTCATTGCACGCTGACTCCTTGCCAGCAGTACGTGGGGGAAAGAGATATTTAACTTCTCTCTCCCTTAGAGCTGTATCCATCACAGCCGGTGCTGAGCACACCATGGCCCCGGAGCTGCAGCCCAGCCACAGCTACACCATCTATAGCTACAACCTCCAAACTGTCTGTACTGGACTAATTACTCATTAACCAGAAAATAAGTAATTCTGTCATGTCCCTGGCTAAGCATACAGGGGAGCAAAGTGCAGTGTAAGCTTCCAAGGAAGTGCTCTGAACACCAGGAATAAGAGCTGCTCAAGAGCAGCACTATTAAGGCATTGTGAGACTTGTACGCCCTGCAGTTCCATGCTCAGCTCTGGGGCCACCACCACAAGAGGGATGTGGACCTGCTCAACCTTAAAGCTCCTCCAGCTTCAACTCCTGCCACGGGCAGGGACCCCTTCCACTAGAGCAGCTTGCTCCAAGCCCCTGTGGCCAACCTGGCCTTGAGCACTGCCAGGGATGGGGCAGCCACAGCTTCTCTGGGCACCCTGTGCCAGCGCCTCAGCACCCTCCCAGGGAAGAGCTTCTGCCTAAGAGCTCATCTCAGTCTCCCCTCGGGCAGGTTAAAGCCATTCCCCTTGGCCTGTCCCTACAGGCCCTTGTCCCAAGCCCCTCTCCAGGTTTCCTGCAGCCCCTTTAGGCACTGGAGCTGCTCTCAGGTCTCCCCTTCAGGAGCCTCCTCTTCTCCAGGCTGACCCAGCCCAGCTCTCTCAGCCTGGCTCCAGAGCAGAGCTGCTCCAGCCCTCGCAGCAGCTCTGTCACCTTCTGCCATAGCTCTTTTCAGCCCCCATCTGCATTTTTAAGACCAAGCAGATGACTGAGTCTGGGATCCTTCGTTCCCAGGGTCCCTGCACACCAAACACCATGGATCTGGCATCTCCCAGCCTGTTCCCCTCAAGCAGCCGTAATAACAGGATTTGACACAACTGCACAGATCAAAACTGCCAGAGCTTAATCTTGTGCCATCAGGTTTTGCCCCTCCATTGAGTTCTTCAACTGAAGATGCTTTTTCACTGAGCTTTTCTGACAGCATGTCCTGGCCTGTTTGCCCTAATGCAGAGAAAAATGTTGGCTACAGAAATAATCAGCTCAAGTTTTACTGAACTGCTTCTCCACAGGGTTTCATTGGCGCCTTTTTTTCCTGCTATTGAAACCAAATTCTGCATGTTTTCCAAACGTCCATGACGATCTGAAAACAAAACAAGTACCCTTCTTTTCCATCTGGCTCACAGATGGGAACCTGGCACTTGGTTTCCATCCCTATTTGCTCTACGGCATGCCCCAGGTCCCATGGCAAACCTCACTGCTGCATCCCATCAGCCTGGCGTGAACGGCTCTTGTTTGGCATCTGCCAACTGAACTGTTTGCTGCTTGGTAAGAAGGAAAAGCGTTTCTCCTCCTTTCCTTCATTTGCAGCCTCCCTCAGAGCAACTGACTCCAAACCAGAGATTCCGAGTTCACAGCCACCATGGGATAACCTGGCTGCGCTCTGGCACCGAGCACCACGGCACTGCCTGGATACAGCCGGGCATGTCCATGTGCAGCAGTGCGCTGGTGCTATGGTTCACCCAAGGCCAGGAGCACGGTGAGCTTCCCAAGCCTTGATTTGGTGTTGTGAGGGCTCCCCGGTGGCCAGCACAAATGTCAGGAGATAGGCACACCTAAGTGTCACACATGCCTGTGGCATCGCTTTGGGCACGTGAGAGGAGGCTGCATCCCTGCCCTCCCCTACCCTGCAGCTGTCCCCTGCTGCCTCCCTTCCCTGCAAGCTTCAATGCAGCCCAGTCCATGTCCACACACCGCAGTAGAGACCCTGACCACGTCCCCAGGGCACACACCTGCAGCCACACACCCCCCAGCCAGGACCTGTGCCCCTATGCAATGTGTTCTGGTGGCAGATGTTGGTGCTGATTTACAGGGATCCCAGAGAAGCCACACAACTGCTCCCCAAGAGCGAGCCATCAGCACGTCCATCAGCTACCTGCAGCACGCTGCTCGTGCCTGTCAGCCACCAAACCCAAACGCTGGCCGGCATGAGGATGAGCTGCTTTATTTTTAAACCCTTTCACACAACACTAAGGAGCAGCAGCTTTACTGGAGCCCTGTTTTCCTTCTCTACCAGAGCTCCAGGCTCCTCACCAGCACAGGCAGAGACACACACACATCCCTGCTGCTGCACAGCCAGGAAACCCAAACAAGCCAAACCTGACCCATCACCATCCCATAGATGCTCGGTACAATTGAGGCCACCGCACAGACTTGCACACCAAGCTGATGGCTTGGCCACAGCCAGGACCAGGCTCACAACAAGCCACGTGTGCTGCAGACAGCGACCACAGCGCCTGCCTTGCACATCTCGTCTCACCCAGCTCCTGGTGACTGTGTCACCAGGGCTGGCAGCGCTGGCACAGGGTGCTGGGGCCAGCAAGAGCCCATTGCTGCCCCGGACCCAGCCAGGCTGCTGCTGTGATGATGGAAAAGCCTGGATGTCCCCTTGCAAAGTGCCGCTGGGAACCAGGGATTCCATCAGGTGGAAAGTTTACCGGGGCAGTCAGCATGCCAGCAAAGGAAATGACTGGGCTTCTATTTAAAGCCTTGGCCTCCCTCTATGCAAAAAAAGCCCTCCCCAGACAAACAAGCTGCGGTTTCAATGGACAGTACAGCACGAGAGTAGAGACCGGTGGCTCCTCCTGGGGCCCTGCACCCCATGTCCCCCCCTTCACGCCGCTGCATCGCGTCCACCCGGACCCTCTCCCACAGGCACTTCACCCGCTGGACCCCTCCCAAGGCAGAACGACTTCCCCCCCAAAAGCCCCGGCAGTGCTCGGCAGGGCATAGCCGGGGGCAACAGGGGGTGGACGGAGGGTACCGGGATAAGGGTGGCGAGCACCGGGGGTTGGGGCGGGGGGTACCGGGGTTTGGGGGTGTCCGCGGCCGCGCACCTCGGTGACGATGGTGGAGCGGTAGACGTCTCGGCTGTACTCCCAGCCGTCCCGGCACGGCTCCTGCTCCAGCGACCCCAGCTCCACGTCGGAGCCGGGCCGCAGCCCCAGCGCAGACAAGTTGGTGAGCGCGGCCAGGCGGTAGCGGCGGCAGCGGCTCGGCACGGCCCGCCCGCCCCGCAGCTCCAGCGGGATGCTGGCGTTCAGCCACTCCGCGCTCAGGTTGGCCCCGCTGGGCACGACGCAGCGGTGCTCGGGGGTGCCGGCCAGGAACACGACCGACATCCCATTGAAGCCATTGGGAATGGTGCTGGCGCTGAGCAGGAAGAAGACGAGGCGCTGGAAGCGGCCCCATTCGCCCAGGAAGGCGGTGGCCGCGTCGTAGTCACGCATGGCACAGCGCGGACCCTCCGCGGCTCTGCGCGCCCACGGACACCCCCGCTCCTTGCTCCGCCCCGGACCGGCCCCGCGGGGCGGGGCGTCCCGCTTGTGCTGTGGGGGAGCCCCGGCCCCGGCCCCGCAGGTCCCCGGTTACCCCGCGGCTGCTCGGGCCGTGAGAACGTTGCACAGATTTATTGCCGGCGGCTCCAGGACCCGCGGCCGGTACCGGAAGCTCCGCACCGTGCCCGGCCCCGCGGTGCTGCGGGCGGTGGGAGATGAGCGCCCGCGGGCACGGGGAGCACCGGGCACAGCGTTGGAAGCCGGCGTTATCCTCGCCCGGTGTTTCCCAGCCGTGTTTACACTGCAGACAAGGTCAGCGGCGGCTGCGGCAGCGCCGGCCTCGGGAGAGGAGCTTTTTCTGTTCCGGTTCCCTGTCTGTTAACGGTTACTGCTTTGCACATGACTCCGGGCTTTGCACGGACTCGGAGACATCTCAGACATGAGACAACGCTGTCATCTTCTGAAATAACTCAAGGGGCACTCAGACACGCGCGGCTGTTCCAAACGCACGCTGGTCCTCAATTACTTGGAAGGTGCGGCTCCGTGGAGCAGTGTCATTGCCCACGGTGCCTGCTCGGGAATGGGGTAGTTCGGGTGTGCAGAGCTGAGGATGAGGGCAGGCCGGGAAGCGTCTCTGCAGCAGAGGTGATGCAGGGCTGTGTGTGTGTATGGAAGGTGGAGGAGCAGACCGTGAAGCGGTGGCTGCGGCAATGCCTGGGAAGCAGAAGCAGATGGCAGCATTTATCCGAGCCATGCGGAGATCTGCTGCTGCTTGGGATAAGGGATGGAGAGACCACGTCATGCAGTAAATGGGGAAGGTCTGGATACCTCCAACTTGGAGAGAGGCCGGAAGTGGCAGATGCTCACCCGTGCTGGGGACCTCGAATCCTGTGTTCAGCTCTGGCCCCTCACTAGAGGTGCTGGAGCGGGGCCAGAGAAGGGCAATGGAACTGGTGCAGGGCCTGGAGCCCAAGCGTGATGGGGAAGGGCTGAGGGACCTGGGGGTTCAGTCTGGAGAAGGCTCAGGGGGGACCTGATTGCTCCCTACAAGTGCCTGACAGGAAGAGGGAGCCAGGAGGGGCTGGGCTCTGCTCCCAAGGAACAAGGGATGGGACAAGAGGAAACGGCCTCAAGCTGCACCAGGGGAGATTTAGATGGAGCTGAGGAGCAATTCCTTCCCCAGAGGGTGCTCAGGCATTGGAACAGGCTGCCCAGGCATCACCATCCCTGGAAGTGCTCACAAACTGTGTAGATGAGGCCTCAGTGCCGTGGTTAGTGGTGGCCTCGGCAGTGCTGGGGAACGGTTGGACTGGATGAAACTAAAGGTCTTTTCCAGCCCAGCCGCTCCAGCCCAGAGCTGAAGCTGGCCCCAGTGATAAGAGCAAGGCAGGGGCTGATTTGGGTGATCAGGGCCTCGCAGGCAGCAGCTCTCAGCCTGCCCTGCCCTGAGGCTATGCAGGAACCACCTAACACCAGGCAATGCATGCCTGCTCCACCAGGAAATAAGGAATCGGGAGGGTATTGTCTTAAGTATTAATGCTAATGCAATCTTAATAATTATTCAGTCAACAGTAAGAGTTTACAGAGGAATAATTTGCAGTCCTAAGTGACTGTGGTTAGACTGCACATTTCGTGAGCAGGGCGTGCTCAGGATTAGCTGGTTTGCGGATGAATCTTTCATGTCTTTAAAATGAAAACACTGTGAGGTTTTCTCTTACATTGTGAATCTACATGAATTAGCAGCCCTATCAACACCTCGTGCTCCAGCCAGCTCTGCCACAGCACCACCAGCTCCTGCAGACCATCATTTCAGACCCAGAGGGGGGATTCAACCTCAGGGATGCTTCAGCCCAGGCATGGAGATTGTGAAGACCACATGGAGTTAGCATCCGGGAGCTGGCTGGGGCAGGCGAGGAGCAAATTCACTGTGGAGGAAGGGCTGGTCCCGGTTCTCCCCAGTGACCCCTCTGAAAGCAGTCGGTGCATTTCAGTGCAGCCTCCTAAGCCATGCTTTGGCTGTTAGATGACGAGCAGTGTGCGGGAAGCGAGGTCAGAGAGATTCCTGTAAAGTGAAATCAGATGCTGAGGAGGAGCAGCTCTGTCACAGGGGGGATGGAGAGGACCTTGAAGAGCTGAGGAGGCTCCTCTTGTGCAAGTGTCTTGTTCTTCTGCAAACACATTGTCTAACCTGGCCCAAACCAGGCAGGAGGGGCTGGAGGAGGAAGCAGCACCGACGGGATGCTGCGCTGCTGCAGGCTGCCCAGCCATGGAGGAGCAGCCCCATCCTGTGTGTGTGCAGGCGCATCACCTCACCCTGTGTGCCACTGCCACACAGCACGGCCATCACCAGGGCTCCTGGGCTGCTGCCTGCAGTGGCTCTTTCTCTTCTGCCTGGGCAAGGCCCCTCTCAAGGGACCCTCTGCCTTGGTGGGACTGATATGCCACCCTCCCAGTAGCCATCTCAGGAGCTGGGAATTAAGAAAGCACATGATAATTTATAGATTTCTAATCATGGTGTTTGTGTAGCACCGGGATCAGGTGGAAGCTGACGGGGCAAAGGAAAATCATAGAATCCCAGACTGGTTTGTGTTCCATTCAGTTCCAACCCCTGCCCGGACCCCTTCCATAGAGCAGCTTGCTCCAAGCCCCTGTGTCCAAACTGGCCTTGAGCACTGCCAGGGATGGGGCAGCCACAGCTTCTCTGGGCACCCTGTTGTGTGTTTGCTGATCCTGCCCCTCCGAGGGCTGAGGTGTTCCTGCAGACCTCCCGGCCCCCAGCAAACCAAACCCTGGTTGTTTTCATCAGTAAAGCTGGAAGCCTGAAGCGTGTCCTCACACAGCAAGAGAGCGACCCTGTGCATGTCAGCCCCGCAGAGCAGCGGCGCTGGCCGCAGGCCAGGCCCTCCCTGCACAAAGAACTGCTTCAGGACTACATGAAAACCCTAAATGTTTACGTGTCCGGGTGTGAGGAGCTGCTCCCGGGCTGGGCAAGCTCCGCGGGTGCTTCCTGACAGCCTCCGCCTTCCCAGAGAGACGCAGAGAGGCAGAATAGCTCACTGAGGAGCCCTTTTCTGTGCTTTATCACACACACGGGGAGATTTTTCCCCCGGAGTAATTAAAAGAGCCTCTTTCACACAGGAGAAAGGGAGGAGAGGGAGCTTTTCCAAGCAGCCTCTTTCCCTCCCCTCTTACGGCACAAGGACTTTCATCCTAATACAAATGGGCCAGCTGAGATTTTTGCTTTGAGGTCTCCGGGAGCAGCCACCCAGTAACAAAGCGCAAAGTTAAAACAACTCCGAACAGCAGCAGGGGCAGAAGGGGGTGTGGTGGTGGAAATAATGCCCGGCCAAGTGGGAAACTTGAGTGATGATACATGGAAAAAGTTAGAACAATTAGAACTTGAATCCTTTGGCACTGGTCCCACCTCATTGAGTTAATGATGCCCTTCGTCGGTTTTGATCTTATGTGCCTTCATTTCCATGGCATGAGGAGCCTGGAGGATGCTCCTGGGGACAGTGAGGGCTCTGAGAGGGTCCAGCCAAGCACCCTGTGTCCCCATCAGTGTCACCCCTGGGCATCACCCCATGGGCAGCAGGGCAAAGGGGCCATGGGTCCCTATGATGATAATATATAAACACATCCAACATACATCTACATTCAAGGGGTGAACAGAAAAATCACTAATTGGAAAGCCACAAGCACATTATTTGCATATGTGCACTAATTAGACATGGGGTTACACAGACCCACACTACATGGAAATCCTTCACAGGCAGAGCCTCAGAGGCTTTGTCTTTAAATCCCCCAAGGATACAGCAGCTAAACCCCAGTGAGCCCGTGCTCACCCTCCTGCTCCTCTGGCTCCCACAGCCCAGTGGGTTTCCATGATTCAAGGTGGGACAGAGCTTTCACAAGCCCCTCTTGCCTTTCTTCACAAGGGATGTAGGGACAGGCCAAGGGGAATGGCTTTAACCTGCCCGAGGGGAGACTGAGATGAGCTCTTAGGCAGAAGCTCTTCCCTGGGAGGGTGCTGAGGCGCTGGCACAGGGTGCCCAGAGAAGCTGTGGCTGCCCCATCCCTGGCAGTGCTCAAGGCCAGGTTGGACACAGGGGCTTGGAGCAAGCTGCTCTAGTGGAAGGGGTCCCTGCCTGTGGCAGGGGTTGGAGCTGGAGGAGCTTTAAGGTTCCTTCAACCCAAAGCAGTCTGGGATTCTGGGTAACGGGCAGAGACACAACAGCCCATCCCATCTCCGGGCCTGATGGGATGCAGGGTCCCAACATCTCGTGAGAAAAACCCCCAAGCAAACCCTGCCAGGGACACAGGCCAAGCCTCAAGCAAGGCTCTCACTGCACAATGCTATGAGAAGTGCAGCTGCCTCCAAGATCATCCAGTTTATCCAGTGTCCTCCTTACCCCGCTGCCGAGGGACCCCCACACATAAGGGCACGGCCATAGGAAAGACATCAGGGACCAGTCAAAGGCCGAGCAGTGACACAAGACACAAAGCCATCAGTACAGCTTTATTTTGTGTTCCATACAAACGGTGCCCTGCCCCTCTGTTACAGTTTAGTGGCATTCCCTGGGGACATGGGAGCCTCGCGTGCGGCAGCTCCTACAAACCCCATAACGTGAATGAGGCGGCCTGAAGGCAGGAATCAACATGCCTGGGGATGGGGAATTCAGCACAGCTGCTTCTGACAGTGGCAAAGCTCCAAGCGGAGCCCTGCAAACAGGGCAGAGATGCTTCCCACCCGATGACTATCGGTCTCCTCATCATTTACAGTTGTCCCAGGTATTTCCCTTCCACCCCCCCCCAAGCATGCCCATGTAGACAAGGAGCACAGCGCTGCGATAACAATTCCCATGTGTTCCTGTACTTTAACAACTGCAGATCCTGATGGCAGCAGGAGGGGAGGTGGATGTTCCGCTGCTGGCAGGGAGGTGCAGGGCCAGCATCCCCGGTGGTGGTACCTGGCTGGGGGGAGCTGCATGCTCAGGAACAGGGCAGGAGGAGCTTCAATCCCTGTAAG